AAGTGCCTGTTCTAGGCTTGTTCGTACAGGCCGTGCCATTGAAAAGCTTTTATCCTGTGACATTCCTTTTATATGGCAATCAGCTCACAAACACAGCCAGCACAGCCAGAACCTACCCCAAAACATGGTGACATAAACACCTGCCATACTGTTCCATAGCACATTTGAAACAGGCCTTCTACATAAGGAAAGCTGGAGTATATTAGATCTTTTAATATTAGTGCATTCTTATGTGTACACCTACTCAGTTGCCTGGGATCCAAAATACACATTTCTTCAATAATTTACAAATATGTGAGTCTGTTCACCTCTGAATCTCCCCCTATGCATGTCCCCAATCAAGGACATGCATAGTCTGTCCATATCAGAAAAAATAAAGGAAAGCAATATCACAGGAGGGCTAAAAAACATTCTCAATTTCTGCAGAATCTTAATCTGAGGTAAGAAAAATTTGAGTTTATTTGTAAATCATAGAGCTCCTCTGTTTCACATGTGTCAATGAAAAAAGAAATGTGTTTGAATGATCATGTTTGAGATTTGGCAGAGGGGTTGGTGACCACACTCATATTGATCTCTATAAAAAATACAAAGAGATATCAGTCTGGATTTCCAGGAAGCCTCTTCAGCAATAATATCTTATAAAATTTCTAGTATTTATTTATTTATATATATTTTTTTATTTCATTTTACTTTTTCCAGTTTCAGTTTACAAATCAAATAGGCTGATGCAGGGACACAACTGAGACATGTTGCATTTCTATATTTGTACTACAGTTTTAACCATTTTAACCAAAAGAGAAAACCAATGATACTGAGAGTGAGAGGAGTGCCCCAGAATGCAGCTCGTTGGGCTCATCACAGTGAACGCACACACAGCGGAGAAAGCCTTTGAAGGGAGCAAGGTGCGAATTGTTATTCTGATACAGACAAATCCTTTCAACCGGGCCAGACTTGACTAAATTATTTTGGAAGACATGTGAGCCAATTTAATCATGTGTTGCACCGGATAAATCAGTGTTTTTGGCTAAAATAAATTACTTTACAAATTACATCTTCACCTCTTTTTCAGCCAGGTTGCTATGGTGACATGCATATTGGACAATGGCAAATACGGTAGACCTGCTGCACAGAACGCTCTAAATGCCAAAGGGGAACACCTGGGCTAAAAGCAAATAGTTTCAAAGCAGTTGGACGGAAAGTACCATCATTAGAGCCAGACGAAGGTGTGGCTGCTGTCTGTAACCTGTCTTAACTGCTGTAAAAGATTCAACAATGCAAGTACATGGTGGTCAAACTGATAATAACAGTTGCACACAGACTGGGGCAATAGGCATAAATTAAAACACTATGACTAGAGGTGGGAATTATACAGCTATAGTTTGTCCACTCACATTTTGTACTAGGCTTGAATCTTAACCAAGACAAAGTACATTTTAGCACATTATTCCAGCATCATCAAATGTAGTCTGAATATTGTTATCATAATATTGCAAAAATAATATATACTAAAATTTGACACTCTATTATATAGTCAAGGCTTTGTACAATTTTCAATACCTTAATCATAATGAAACTTTATTGATATCCCCTCTGCTGAATCTCAAGCCTGGTCAATTGTGCAATCAGATTTTTTTTAGTGACACATGTGAAACAAAGGACTGCATTGGTTATCTATGATTTACAAATAAAATCAAATTAACCTCACCTCAGATGAACAGTTTAGTGCTTCTCTCATTGCTTCTAAAGAAATGTGGAATGTTTTTCAGCTCCCAGCGATATTTTAGTTCCTTTACTTTCTCTGATATGGACGTACCACGCATGTCCCTGATTGGTTAATCCACCTGTCGATCACACCCAACTGAAAACGAGGAGATTCACCGCTGACCCGACTCTTTGTAAAGTATTGAGTAAGTGTGTATTCTGGATCCGAGGCAAAATAAAGACACCTTTATACAACTGAATGTCATTTTCAAATAATCTAAAAATCCACTTGGCACCGCCATCAGAAAATGTCAAAACATACAAGGACAACAATAATTCACACTGACTAGAGACTAGAGACACTCATATGGTGTTCTATTGGGAATAACTAAAATGTCTTTATGGCTGGCTGAGCTGAAGAGAATTAGAGGAGGATTGTTGCAGGAAGTCATATGAAAAGAATCACTAATGTATTGATAGTTTAGGTCAACAGAGAAACTAACCCTGCTAGACAGAATCGATCTTGGCTGAGACTCAACAACAAAAATAGAAGGTAGGACCACAGAATAAAGCACTGACAGCATTCCAGTAACCCATTTCATTTAATTATAAAAATGCATTAAAAAGATATTAGCAGTAGATGCCGTTTAATGAAGCATGTTAACTTGGGGATATTGTTTGTAATGAACAGTGTCTGGGCTGATCCCGGCACCACAAATAGGGAATGGGTTGAAGGTAAATGATAAATTGTTTAAATAAGTGGATTTCAAGCTGTTTCTCTGGAGCTTTCAGTCCAAAATTTTGTCAAAATGTGGTGGACTTATTTTTCCACTTGTCAATATTACAAATCTGACTGTCAATTATGCGGGCTAGGATGGATCAGACATAACTAGTCTATCTTTGTGATCTTGATGACTGAATGACATTGACAGACTGTAATTCTTATACTTTTCAAATCCAAAGAGAAAAATGGCTCACCCTGCTCCAGTCTTTTGGCAGAGGAAACCCAGTGCACCCAGTGGGAGTTTAATGACACCATCACTCACCGACTACTGCCAATTGATTTCTGTGTATTGCCTGGTAAAGCCAAAGTCAATACAAGCTCACAGTGTGCCTGTCAATTCTGTCCTATTTGTACGAGGTTTATCATTGCACCACGCCACAACAACCAAACACCTAACCGAGCAAATGCATTTCTCATTTTCGTGCTTCTTAAAGTGCCTATGTCAGGACTAGGCTGCTCATTTTACTAAAACACTGTTAAATTCATTATATTTAAGATTTTTGCAAAAAAACATTCACACTTTCAATTTGGCAACTTTTTGGTTTAAAATTGTATTTCCTGGTTGTGACATCACACTAGGGAATTCACTCCTCTAATGTACAGAGAAATAATTATCTCACAAATATAAGAAAACATCTTTAATTTGTTGAACTCATGTTTAAAATGTCAAAAAAAGGGTCTTTCTTATGTGTAACTTGTGCTGTACCTTTGGACAGAATTCTCCCTAGGGCGATATCATCAATATGCTTTAGAACTCTTTACTTCCTGTAATTTTAAACATATTTTTCAACTTTCCTTCCCAAATTGCTTCTTGATTGGTGTAAAACTATAATTTATATTTACAACATGTATTATCCTACCAAATTAAGTCAAAATTAGAGAATCATAAAACTCTGTCACAGCATTTTAAGGTTCAGATTTCATACTTTTTATGATCAATTTCCAGCCTGGGCAAAATGTCACAAGCAATATTGTATATCAAGTCAGATTGCCGTGTAAATGAAGAATCTTGGGGAATCATTATTGTCCTAACCTGAATCAATATCCCTACATTAGTGTGATATTTGAAAATCAACAAAAAAGGTAAAAGAGAACAGTAATCGGATGGCGCCTGCCTTCCTACGTTACAGGTTTCTAACTCAGTCATTCAATATCTCTAATAGAGGCCTGTTATTCTTCTCATTAAACAGGAATGAGCCCTGGATAGTGTAGTTACAGCCTACAAATGATAATTATGACACTGCCGAGAGTGATTAGATCTACGCTAAACGCACTATGATTAAAACATATTCAGGCTTTAGACTTTTGGAGGTGTTGAATCAGTGCGTGCGCTTTTGCCACGAGACAGAACATTTAAGAGGAAGGAGTTTTACAAATGGATCCAGCTCTGATGCCACTGGGAACAACTTATGCTTCCAAGCAGAAAATCTCAGACAAATCACAATTTACCAACTAATGAAAGCACGCCAGATTATCCCCCATCGGTCTGTGCACGCTGTCCTCAGAGCAGCACCGCTTACACACACACACACGTACTGGGCAGGTTTGGCGTAGAAACATGAGGTGAGATATAGTGTATTTTAAAATAAGCAACTTTAAGGAACATGTTTTAGCATACGAAAAATCAGGGCTGCTGACACATTTTTTCACCTGTATATAAATCCAGTGCAATAAAGCAGTAAAGTATAGCAGGCAATACCTTAAAGCAAAGTAATATTAAGAATTAGGTATACTGCTATCATTTAAAGATCAACTGATACAGACATATTTTTTCTCATGATCAATGCCGATGCCGATTTAAATCCTGAGGAGCCAATATCTTTAGGTTAATAAGGAGGACCAAATTAGATAATTTTTCCCAAATTATCTAATTTAAATTTACTACAAACTCACCCACAGCCCTTTTTTTTTATCATAAACCTTTAAGAATGTAACTCAGGCACATGTTGTGAAGTTATGTTTTTGTACTGAAGTGTCCAACTGACGCTTTACGTGTTTAAAATCGGCCTGTGCTAGACCGACAGCCGGTGCGCTAAAAAGTGCAAATATCGGCCTGTTATATCAGTAAATCATTATATCTATCTCTGCTAATATCGCTAACATAACTGTATTCCATTCACACCAGGAAGATAAATTGAAAAATTATAAATATTGTTAAAGCATATTGTCTCAATATTGGCATCGGGATAAGACAAAACATATCATGATATTCATTTTTGTCCATACCAATTTTCATTCTTTAAATTCAATCATCGCAAATATTGTACTAGACTTTAAACATTGGTCTGAAAAAAATCACAGAATAAAATAATTTATCGGAAGATTAAATGAACCTTGTTGGACGATATTGTACGCAACACAAGGTACACACATATTAATTTTCCCTAAGGTGCAAACTAATGGCATCATCATAAACTGACATGAGGTGAATCACAAATCACAATCAGAAATATGCAGACAATCAACCCAAATGAAATCTTAGACAATGAAAAAGAAATAAAGGAATCGGACTTACCCTCTGTAGAGTGGACTTGGGCTAAGGTAAGGATGAACCAGCAGAGGGTGGGTAACTTCCACAGAGCACATGCCATGGCTCTGGTGGTCCGTGGACAGGGTTTGTGCTTCAAAGTTCAGGATTAAACAAGTCCACACCAGGCCTTCTCTGTGATGCTCATCATTGACCCCCTTTCACCTGGACAGCAGAGGGACAAACATGCTTCTTAGATACAGGGATTTTCCCAGTCACACTCAGATCACAAGATGCTATATGTAGACATTCCACAGGCAGAGAGGTGACACGCTGCAGAGCCAATGTAAGCCAATAGAATAGAAGGTCAATATTGCCGTGAAGAGACATCCTGGTATAAATGAGAGCTGCATGCTAACTATTTTCACTGTGCAAGAGGGAGGAGAGAGAGACAGAGAGAGAGAGGGGGGTTAGCTTTGTCTGGTATCGTCATCAAACAGATAAAGCACGGCCTGTCCAGCTCCCATGACCCATAGCTAAGTGATGTTAACCTTATCAGAGCTGTGTCAGGTTACATTTTGGTGTTCATGCTAAAGAGGGCTGCAATTGCCTCCTGTAGAAAACCCTGGATTTCATATGCAACATGTTTCTTGTCAAATCATCAATATTGACAGTTTAGTTACAGAATACTGAATACCTGACGTAAAATGTATATGTAATGTATTTAATTAGATGAGCCAATATTGTATTCTGAATACTTTTACACTTAAATGCATTATATTACACAAAAAAAAAAAAAACACCACATATAATTACAAATAGCTTTTATTTGCTAATCATTCATTTATTTGTAATGAGAGAAGGAAAAGTAGCACACGCAGTCACCATAAGAACGCGCTTTCTTTTTGTCTTACTATGATACTGTAGCCAGGCTGGTGCCACCTAGTGCCTCCGCTCATTTCTCTCCAGCAACTAGGTCAGGAATCAAAATACAATAGACGGTTTGCAAAAACCCCGGAAGTGCAAGTTCGGGCACCAACCAATCAGTGAAGAGCTATATGGTCTGTGTTGGCAACGATTCCTGAGATCGAGGATTTAAAGCTGGAATAAAGAGAAAGTTTGATGAATTTCATCAAGGGGAAACACTTTATTGTCTTTCTTCCTAAGGGATTTGGGAAAAGCTTAATATACCAGTTAGCCCTGTTAGTGGCGCATTACATCATCACGACCAAATAGCAGCGATTGGTTAAATGATAAAAAGTACCCGCTTACCATCGAGTGAACGAAATCTAAGGCCAGACGATTTGTCCGAAGTGAAACGAAGTAAAACCGGCTGATGAGTCAGGCTAATGATATTGTGCAATTCATAGCTAAAAGTACAAAATGAAGTACCGCCATATGTTCCTTTGATTTTATCTATAACTGTAACTATAACTGTATTCTGAATAACACCAAATGACAAATAACTGTACTGGAATACAGGTACTCGAAATTTGTGATCAGAATATGTATTTTCAGTACATGTATAAAGTTACTTCCCAACACTGATCATATATAACAACGCAAAATGTATTGAGGAACTAGAAGAAACTTTGGGGAAACTATCCACATTACAAGCTCATGTAGGAAATGCTCATTAAGCTGACGGTAACAGTAAATGCTAAAATTATCCGTGGTAATAGCTTTGCAAGCATTATCCAAAAAGCTTCTCCACATGTTGTAGTAATATGGGTTTGCATTAGCTTTGCAGATGTCCAAAAATCAATGGGAAAAACTATGCTTCAAAATTAGCAGCATATAAAAGCTATTTTTGACGTTGGCTTATTAATGATTAAACATGCAAAACCACATTCTGTTAGACAGTACCTTGAAAAAAAAAAAAAGAAAAAAAAAGGAAAAATATTGTGAAGATTTGTGACTTGTTCGATCTCAAAAATAACTGATTTTGTGGTCTACACAAACAGATTTAATTTCCTGATTTGGCCAAGGACTTGCAACAAAATATTAACAGAAACCCGCAAAAAACTATACAAATATGAAACTTTTTTGACACTTTATGGCCCGTGAAGCCTCTGCAAACAAAGTAACTCTTGGCTGGTTACGTCTGCATATTTTAACTGACCGCTACGCTCCCTTCCCTGCACCCACCAGTACTCAGACGCCACAGTGACTCAAGTTTAAATCCTCTTTCTTTCTCATCACACTTGTTCCTATGGTAGTTTGTTTTTCAAGTGTTTGTTTTTGCTCTATGTGCTACAAAGGCATAAATGGCCTCCTCCCTGTCACAGATAGAGAGTGGGTGAAACCTAATGCCTACCTGCGCGGGCCCAGGCATGCGTTTCACACTCCGAACGGCTCCCTTTTGTCTGCATGTTTACACTGCCGGCCCAGGCTCTGCTCTCTCACTCCCATCAACCATTAGCACATTCACCATGGGATAAGGCATCGCTCCGGCAACAAGGCACATAGGACCCCATTAGAAACTGTTTTTCTGTTCGTCTTTTTAGTAGATTGAAAAACAACGTTCCATTTGGGTGTCCACCAGTCCGAGATTGCTGGTTAAGATTTGCTAGGAGTGGATGCGGCACATAATACTTGAAGCTAAAACAAAACACACCGGGAATTCAGGGGAGATGAGTTGAGGTGGTCCTTAGGCGCTAGTTGAGACCACTCTCCCGATGCGATGCTAGGACAATTTCTTTTATAGATCTCTTGTTCCATGTTTTTGGAGGCTTCCATTATGTATCAGGACTCGCAAAATTACAATTGGATGATTCAGGATTGGGTAATTTTGACCCCTTGAATTTTTTTTTTTATTTTTCTTAACCTTTTTGCTAGATAAATGTTGTGTTGAGTAAATGAGTACTAATTAATAATGAATACACCTTAATTAGCCTCAATAAAGCATGAGCAAAGACTTAACTCATAATGAACAAATAGTTTTAGAATGATTCAAGCTTAGTGATTACCTAATTAATGGGATAGGAGTTACAAGATAGGAGATTTTTTTTTGGGTCGCCTTTTTGGGTCCAAATAGGCTCCTTATGGAAACCTTTTATTGCTGGTTCAATTACGAGTGTTTCCCGCAGCACAACAAGTAGCCCCTGCCTTGACTACGTCCCTCCGAACCACGTGAATCCTCACAAAACTACGGTCATCGCACGGAATCTCCGCGCAACCCCTCCCTAACCACTCCTCACTTTTTTGGCAGCACCGCATTGCCTAACCAATTTTCTGTTTTCAATTACTGTTTTTCATTGTTTAAAACTTGAGTAAAACTAATTGTTCAGAGAGACACGATCACATAGTCAACAATAAAATATCCTCATTAATGTTCAATAATGGTCAAATTTATTTTGTGATTTACAAATAATGTCTGTTGACTTGGGTCGCGAAGATTTGTGACTTTTAAAATATGGGTCCCCAGAAAAAAAGTTTGGGAAACACTGGGTTAGGATGTAGGACTATATTTATACCATACTCCATACAACTATACAACATCTCACCCTTATGTAAAACATAACTCCTTACCTCTCCTTACCCACTCTTGTATAGAGATATATGCGTATTACTATATTTCTCTATATTTCATTTTTATGTGTGCAGGTCTACATTTATATAATTATGCCTTATTTGACACCAGTATCTTGCTATTTTATTATGACCATTTACATTGTTGCTGTTTGTTATTATAATATATTTTGTGTGAGCTACTGTGTCCAAATAATTTCCCTTGTGGATCAATGAAATTTGTCTAAGTATTCACTAAGAAGTTAAAAAGCCTGAATCATTCTTAATAAACTATGTATTTTTATGAATTAAGTCTTAGTTCAGACTTTATTAAGACTTGAATAAGTGTAGTTATTATTGAGTGATACGAAAAATTTAGTTTAATAAATTGCATGGAGGGGCGTACAAGTGGCGTACCATCTTTTCCAGGCTGGAGGGAACTCACGACTCTTGCAGTCTCATAATAATCGCCATTAAGAAAACGCACACATTAACCAACATAGTTCTAATTAAGCCTGCAATAATCAGCTCATCTCCTATGACATTATGCCTCACCTGAGACCTCTCATTTCAGAGCGTTTATGGAGGTTAACAGGAGCGGAGCACATCAAGCCAAGGTGTATTTAAATCAAATGCAATGATATGCAGTCTGGATATTCTCAATGAAAGTAGCCCGGACTGAACAAACCGGGAGTATAGCATTTCGTTTAATCCCAAAGCCTTTGTTTTAGCTGACCAATGGCTGTGGACCTAATTAAATTTATCAGGCAAGTGAATAATCTCGCTTTGATCTAGGTTCATTTGGAATAACGAGACCTTAAGGAGATTGTATATAAAGCTGTACTATTGGCTTAAGGATCTTTGGTGCACACAGACTATAAGCTGTTTTGTCCACATAGAAAGATAATATGGAGATAGCAGCGACAATGGGATCTGAGAGCCAGTGAGCATCCATTCAGTCAATAAATGGTCCTGGGTAGGGCTTTGTCACAGCACAACAATTCCTTTACTGTGCTTTGATTTGTAAAGACCAAAGGAACAAACAAATACAGGGGAATTTTAATTTTTATAAAGGGTTGGAAAGTTTTTTTTTCGAATGCTGCATTCTATTTTGTTAATCAAAAGTAGCCTATGGAATATTTGGGAAAGCACTGTGCTAGTCTAAATACATATGCATTATTTAGGAAAGTAAAGTATGGTATAATGTAAAGAAATTCAAAGTAATGCAAGGTAAAACTGTAGTAGAATAAAATGATATGGCTGAGAATTGTAGAAGAGGTATTAATCCTCAAGGCTTGTAGGGAGTATTATACCTCTGATCATTTCAAAATTATCATTGTTATATCGTTGTTTTCCTTATGACCTCTCGTATATAGCTGAGCTACATTTTTATTACTATATTTTTATATTTTATTTTTTCATACGCTTATGTAATTATGCCTTATTTGACATCAGTCTCTTGCTATTTCTGCTACTAATTTAGAATTTATTATACCATTTCTCTTCAGTATTATAATATGCTGTGAGCTACTGTGTCCAAATAATTTCCCTTGTGGATCAATAAAGTTTGTCTTAGTTTAAGTCTAAGTCTGATGACGAAGGCCAAGATAACAAGGACAGAGCTGTGTGTGCAATGTGGGGCATGCAAAGCGCAAAAAAGTTTTTAGTTTTTTTTTATCAAACAAAAAGTAATGTATAGAAAAGTTTAGAAAAGT